TATAAGACTCAACTGCTGGTTCAGAGTACTACATGAAGGAAAGAAAATGAGCAGTTATTTAGAATTTATGGTGCTACAATCACTGTGCTTCTAAAATGTGAAAATAAATCTGCATGAAAGATGTATAATTCCCATTTTATAGGTAAGAAAATCTAGGCTCCCAGAGATTCAGTACCATGCCCAAGAACCCACAGACTGAGGTTTGGAACAATTTTTCCTGACTCCAAATCTTAAACAATTTCTTTATCTGTACATTATACTGTGATCCTACTGAGTTTAATAACATTTTGACTTTAAAAAAGAACGGTCCTACAAGGCTTAATTCACTTTTGATATGGATTCTAACCCAGCAATGATCATGGGATGTCAGCACAGAAATGCCTGTGATTGAAAATGTCTCAGGAGGATCCCATACTACTGCCTCTGAGAGGACAGACAGGATGGTGCTTTATACATACTTTAAGCAATCTTGCATCCAATTTATTTTGTGGTTAACTGCTATTTCTGTGGTATTTTAAAAAAGACTATATTGGCTTGCTAAACAGCACTCCCCCAAAAACTAATATTAGAATCCAGTAGTAGGTGGAGACGTTTTTTTCTGCCATGTACACTGGTGCTAAAACTCCAAAAGTGTACAGAGCTGTGACAAATGCACAGAACATAATGGCTTCAGCATTTTCAACCCAACTGTGAGAGAAGGAAGTATGTTTTTACGTTTAGTAGCAGTATTATCTTTTAGGTAAAAAGGCGAAGTGATTGCTATAGTGTCAGTAGAATAAATGCTTCTTTAATATGTATCTGTACTGAGCCATCCATGTCCTCTTTTTCTCCTTAATACCAATGAGAAAACTTTTGTGATTTTTTTCCTCTAGACTAGTTTCCCCTCTCATCTCTCTTTCACTTGTCTTCCTCCTGTACTAATTGACCTAGGAATTAACTTTACTCATTTAAGCAAATGGATCTGAAGATGCAAACATTTCCGGATATATATCTACATACACATACATACCTCTATATATTCATACATAATAGGCACATACATGACAATATCTTCAGTGATCAACATATAAATTATGATAACAATAAAGATTTTATGACAGTTGGCCCAGTAACATCCAAAATGTACAATTTAAAAATAACTGCACTAAAATTTCTGCTGCCAGATAGGATGCAGTGAGTAGCTTATTAGCCATGAGAAAACAGAAAGTCTAGATAAAATGTAAAACAATAAGCAATTTTTTCACCAGAAACTACCTGAAGCAACATGTTGTAGAAGGTCTAAGATCCTCAAAAGGGAACCCTGGAGAGGTGAGGGAAGAATCTGAAGCTGCTTTTGTTTAGTCTGGGCTCTCACAACAGTATAGACTTGGCCTGGAAGAAGACCGCTGATGGACATGAAAGAAATCGGAAGTGAACACTCTTGAGGGACTGGGGTGACAGAGACGTGAGAGATCTCAAACAGTTAATCAGTTATCTCCTGACACTTGTCAATTCTGCGGCTGCAGGATCTAGAGGCAAAGAGCTAAGCTAAATCCCCTGAAAAGCATCTCAGATTTTTGGGAGTCTGGCAGCCCTGAGAAGAAAAATACTTAAAAATATTGGTGTTCAAGGCCTGCCAAAATTAGAGCCCACACGAATGTGGTAGGTTACGGTTTGCCCTGAGGACCAAATTCAGCCCACCCCTATTTGTGTGTGGCCCCTGGGCTAAGAACATTTAACACATCTTTGAATAGTTGAGGAAAAATCAAATAATTATTTTGTTATGTCAAAGTATATAAAACTTGCCCTGGCCCAAGATGGCGGATGAGGTAATCTGACGTGTTGTGGCTGAGATTCTGGTGCTGAAGACTAACGCAGGACACCGAGATCAAGAGTTGTGGGTGCAGCGACTAAAGGAGGAGTATCAGTCCCTTATCTGGTACGTGGAGAACAACAAGAATGCTGACAACGATGGAGCCCAACAAGAAAGGGACTCAGTGGTTTGGAAAATGTTGGTATAGCTATAACCTCTGGACATGACAGTTTGACATTCCTATCACATATCCTACTACTTCCCCAGAAATTGCAGTCCCTGAGCTGGATGGAAAGACAGCAAAGATGTACAGAGGTGGCAAAATATACCTGACAGATCATTTCAAGCCTTTGTGAGCCAGGAATGTGGCCAAATTTGGACTAGCTCATCTTGTGGCTCTGAGACTGGGTTCAGGGCTGGCAGTGGAAATCCCTGATCTGATTCAGAAGGGCGTCATCCAGCACAAAGAGAAATGCAACCAATGAAGGACCAAGCCACTGATGCAGGGCAGAGGGATATTTGATAGGCTACAGTCCTGTTTTCCCATGTACCACACTTCACTCAGCTAACTGCTTCCCCTTACCCTCTACCTCTGGTTGTTACTGAGTAGCTGCAGGAGGCATTGCTGGGGTGGGGAGGGGAAGACCAAAACACCAAGCAGTATTGCTGTTCAGTTTCTAAGGCTGCACAGGGAAGGGAAAGACTGGGCTTTGGAAAATCAAGAGGCAATTTATATCCTCCCCCTAAAGTGGAGCAACGTGTGATCCTATAGGCATAGTGGGTAACTGGGACATAATCTCTCCGGTAGTCTCTCATAGCGTCTCAGGAGACAACTCATCAATAAAAGCTGTTTCCTCTGGTTAAAAAAAAAGTATACAAAACTTAAAAAACTCATATTTTGATGTCCATACATAAATCCTTATCAGAATACACGCATGACCTTTATATATTGACATAAGATGCTTTTACATAATGAGTGGTTGCAAAGAAACTGGATGACCTGCAAAACCTAAAATCTTTATCGCCTGGCCCTTTACAAAAAATGTTTGCCAACCTGCACTATGCTGCTAGTTGAAAACTCTGATGGCCAGGGCAAACTCAACCCAACCTCACGTTGGCTCAGTTCTGGTTTGGATTAGGGTAATTAGCTTTCACTCTATCTGCCTAGCAGAGAAGTGGTAAACCTTTGCTGGAAAAAGATATCAACCACTGGAGCCTCTACATTTTTAAATACACACTCTATACATATTCCTGCATTCCAAAAATTACTGTACTAACTTTTCTCTGAGCTGAAGTGTGACACATATGAAGAAACGTGACTTAATTGGCAAGTTCAGTAGCAATTCATTAACATCCAATGTTGTAAATAAGTTATCTATGTCATTTAAAGAAAAGTAAAATATAGGTAACAATATTACCTAAAAGCACTTTTCTTGGCAAGAAAACTTAAAATAGGTGTCCAGAGTAATAACATTCTAACAAACTAGATGTTAGTTTCCACTGTAAAACGGTCCAATAATATAGAGTCTATGAATTATTTATTTTGTAGTAAATGAAAACAAATAGCAATTGACCAGTTACAAATCATCCTGATCTATAAACTGAATGGTAGAGCTCATTTCTCAGTGACATGTGGTTCAGAAAACACCAGCATCATATTTTAGGCTCTACCATCCTGTGAAGCCTGATAAGCACAGATGTGAGAAAAATGAATAGCACCAAAATATTATAATTATGCAATATGTTATGCCTGCATCTCTCCCAGGATTTTAAAATTTGACTTTAATAACTTTTTATAATAAAAAGAACAACTCAAAGGCGCAAGACAGCTGAGAAGTTCAATATGTCACAGAACTGCAAAATTGTTAAATTCACTTTAAGTAGGATATACTAAGGTTTTACATCTGTGACATAAGTAAATCATAACTCCTAGATATAACAGAACAGGTCATGTTAATTTTCAGACTATCACTTTTTGTAACACATGTCTTATTGGTGTCAATGACATATAACCTAATCATGCTTAAAAGTTCAGGTCAGACAATAATTTTCTGGGATTCAACTGTGTACAATTGTACTGCTACACAGAAAGGATACAGATATGGCTATGAATACAAAATTAAATATAGATACATCAAAAGTGAGTATTTGTACATTTATGTAAGTTCATATAAATTACAATCTCTAATTTTGAATTTAACTCAGTTCCTAGCCTGTGGACATTTACCTTATAGCATAGGAATGCACAATGTCATGTGGATATTATCTGAGAAAGTCAGAATTATGCTTGAAAAGAAAGGACTTTTAGAATGAGAAACTTTTTAAAAAGTTAACTTTTTAAAAATTTTGTTTAAAGTTCAGATATTCTCTGCTATTTTCTTCACCTTTAAGAGCTCCTCAATGACAGAAGCCTCTGAATTGAGCTCTAATAATTTAATCACATAAAGTCTGTGAATATCATCAAATAATAAATCATCAGAGTATGCTATTGATCATTTTACCTAAACCATAAGTGCTCCTTTAGAATTAAACTCAATATTAAAAAAATTGCAAATATCATCAGTAACAGACTTCACTCATATAGTTTACTAATCGAAAAACAAGGTTTACATTCATCTAGTCCTTAAAATTATTTTTGAAAAATTCTTCACACGCAGGAAAACAGTCTATTTTAAAGCAGGTCAATATTAGATGATTGAGAATTGGAAAATACTAAGGATATTCTAAGACATTTAGGCAACTGGTTATTTTATTCAAATGCTTGATTCAAGGAAAGTATGTCTTTACAGTTCTGATTCCTTAATAACTGCTAGAATGCTATGCCTTTGAAAACAAAATCAAATATTATAGTGCCACAAACTGTTTCTGTTATGCATCATATCTGACTCCAATTAAAAGATCAGGGTCCTCCGAGCGACATATTACAAACAAAAAATCCTTAGTAGGTAGTGGAAAGTCAGGCCAGGAGTCAGACAGAACCAACAGAGATGAGAGATGTGATATTCAGCACAGTCTCCTCAGAGAGAAAAAGCAAAACCACATGGCCCTGCTGAAATGCCGAGTTAATCCTCTCTCTTATCTGAGCACTAAATATTACATCCTTAAAATTGTTCCAACTAGATTACTGCCTCTTCAGGTGAGACTCTCGTTTAAGAAACACAAACATTCTCAAAGCACATTGCTGAAACATCGTAAAAACTTAACCTACCATTTTCTTTGCACTCTTCTGGAGGTTTAGCCTTTTTCGCAAGTCGTGGATCCAGCCATGATGTTGTCTTTGTGTTATGGCTGAAAAGAAAAGAGATCACTCTGAACAGACACATACTGAAAGGAATCAAGTTTATTCCTTAAGAAAAAAAAAGCAGGGTTAGTCCAACAAAATTGCAATCGATACACTTAATTTGCTTACTGGTTCTAAGTAGCCCTGAAGGAGTGTAAGAGTAATTGTGCAAGGCAGCTGTAAATTTGGCAACCTCAGCTCCCTGTCCTCAAAGCAGCTATTTTTATTAAAATCAACTAGAATGTTGCCAAGTTAACCTCATTGAAAATGCAGAACTCATCCAGCGCAAAAGGAATTTATTACAAATACAGGATTCTCCAGTTGGAAGAGCACAGTCCACAGGCTCTGATAATGTTTCCTGAGTTTTGCAAAAGAATTATTTTCATCTTAAACCTACCCTTTTCATAAACAGTTGTTTTGTTACTCTCTAACTACAGACCTGGCAGAGGCAGTACAATAGTAATGCAGATTATGGCATGTTCTTGAGATTCCTGCATTTTCTCAATAAGTGATTAATAGAAATTTTATCAACCAACATTAAGCTATCTTTCATCCAAATACTTTCAACCCAGATCAGAAGGCAGAAGACTGTCTGCATTCTAATGTTTCTGAAATGGAATTTCCAGAAATAATACATTTTTTTTTTGAAAAAATGTTTTCTTGTAAGACTTTTGCCAGAAATTTAAAAAGTAAAAGAGAGATATTCTTAAAGCAGTGTTTCTTAAAGTGGTTGTGGAATACCTGCATTGGAATCACCTGACGGACAATGTACTGTATATTAGCAATGCGTATTCTGGGTCTTCAAAGAATTATCAAATAAGAATCTCTGAGGTGGGGCTACACAACCTCCATCATTGGGGAGCACTCCCAGTATTTCTTATGCACATTACAATTTAAGAGCCACTCACAGCTCATAACTGCTCATTGGAGCTAAAATATTTACTGTGTACAGTTGTCTCAAGGGATCTCATCTACCAATGGACAAATTGTCAAGAATTCGACGTTTGTGAGGGTTTGGGGAAAAGAATGAACAAAGGCACAGGTGTGGGAACATGTGAGGTGTATACAGGAAACAGTCAGAAGGCCAATCAATGGAACATGAGAGAGAAGAATAGAAGATGGAAACAGAAATCAGAGCCAGATAATAGGCATACTTTAGTACAGTTGTAAGGAGGTCAAAATGATAATGATATAAATTTCACATGTATTCTCTTTCTTTAGTGAAATTTAACTACATTTTATCAACCATAGCCACAAATGTTAGCTAGATAATCTGTTATACCAGTCTGTACTTACAGTGAAGGTCAGAAGATTTGCCCAGGGATTATATTTAATTACAAATGTGTAAAAATCAAGTTCCCTCCTAATGGAGGAACTTTCAATCCAGGAAGGAGGGAAGATGGAGTCAAGATGGGTAGCAGAAAGCTATTTAAGATGTTAAATCACTCTTCAAATAGTATTTTCTGAATGATCATCCATCCCATCTGGCTATGTATAGAGCAATCTTTGATTTGCGAACTGTGACATAAAGACCCTTGAGTCATGAAGCTTCTGCTCCTGAAGAAAATACCATTTTATTTCTGACTTGTACATGGGATAAAGAGAAAGTGTTCTCCATCACATTCTTCACATTTAAGAGCTCCTTGATGACAAATGCCTCTGAACAGGACTTTAATAAGTTGATCAGAAAAGGGCTGTGAATTTGATCAAATAATAAATCATGAGGAGAGCATGCCAGCTTTTATTTTGCCTCAGTTTGACCCTTGTAAGATCTGCTGGTGCTTCATTATCAAGTTTCAGGCACTTTCATCTGGTTCTGGCCCTTGTTTGTAAGCCAATATAATCTAGTATTTTCTTCTGAACTGAAGACTTCACACTTGAGGATGCAGGTTCTGATTATTCGTAGTGTGAGGATGGGGGCACTGGGTTCAGTGTTTGCTGCTCTCATTTTGGCAAAAAGAAAAAACACAATCACTTAAAAAAATGCTCTTTATAAGCTGGGTGTGGTGGCTCATGTCTGTAATCCCAGCACTTTGGGAGGCCAAGGTGGGTGGATTACCTGAGGTTGGGAGTTAGAGACCAGCCTGACCAACATGGAGAAATCCCATCTCTACTAAAATTATAAAATTATCTGGATGTGGTGGAGGGCACCTGTAATCCCAGCTGCTCAGGAAGCTGAGGCAGAAGAATCGCTTGAACCCTAGAGGCAGAAATTGCAGTGAGCCAAGATCATGCCATTGCACTCCAGCCTGGGCAGCAAGAGCGAAACTCTGTCTCAAAACAAAACAAAAAACAAAACAAAACAAACAAACAAAATGCTCTTTATAGACGTGTCTCAGTTCAAAGTATATATGTGTCTATGTGTGTGTTGATGCCTATGTTTCTATGAGGTGGGGAGAAATCTTGGGAAGTAGTCAAGGAAAATACATTTTTCTTCTTTTGTCCTCACTTGCTTCTTCCAAATCCTTTCCCCTTTTTGGAAAAAAGTCACTTCTAAGCTCCTTAGACATATTCACAAAAGCAAACACATACATGAGTAAGATTAAGGGAACATTACTAAGCCACTGCAGGGAGTCAAATTACCATTTCTATTGCACACCACCATGGGTCTCAAATACTGGCTAATTTAGAAGAGAACTGTGAATTTTCCAGCTTTCTTGAGTTTATATAAAGCATTTCATTACAGGCTGATTTTTTTTAGGTTGAACTAGCATTAACGGTGTGTCACTTTAATACATTTTGACAGAATGAGTCTCTTATAGTTAACAGCATTTTTAGCTGATCTTCAGAAATGATTCTGAAATAAATGTGGGTAGTAGCTACCTTCAGTAATTGTCATAAACATCACATGAAGAGCTAGCACAGTATTTTTCAATAGTGGTTCTCACCAGCCTTGGAATTTACATGTTCTTCCAAGATGCCTTGCAAAAAGGATATTTTTAATGCATTGGGAGACAACAGACCAACCAGTCCTTCTACTTCCCTTAAATTACATATTTTAAACCTTAATAATTCCATTTGAAAACAGAATTAGGTGTTGGGCCGGAAACCGTGTTCAAAATGGGATCGTTGAGGGATTTTTTCACATTCTGCGTACTGTCTTTCAAGTTTAAGGAGGTGATTTCCTTTCACTTCCTAGCTAGGGCAGATTCAGGTGTATGACGTCGGTATTCTGTATTTATCCAAACTGTGTGTCACAAAAATACCAGGAAAAGAAAATGTCAATGCTATATAATTTTATATTTCAAGTTTCTTTAACAGAGACACATACAAATACATAGGCTACATTTGCACACAAACTTTTCTTATTCTAGCTGGGGAATGGAACAAATATTTTCTAGGAAAGGTTGAATCATACTATTACACTACTTCATGTATTTTGTAGGATAAAGTTAATGTGATGATCACAAAAAGTGAGAGGTCAAGTAAAAAGCCAGTAGCTATTTAAATTCAGTCAATGTCATATTTAAAAACCTGGATGAAAACCAAAAACAATGGTTTATCATATAGGCATATCCAAAACTCTTCTTTGATGTTCAGCTAAATACTGGGTCTATCTAGAGGACCCAGAAGTGAAATTTCAGTCAAGTTTGCATTTCTACTTTAAATTCATATCAGAATGGCCTTGAAAATATGCAATAGGCGGATCAGCAATGAACAGAAATTTCTGTACAATTTGTAACCTTAACCTTTGCCAAACTGACAGAGCAGCAAGTTAAATAATATCCTATCTTCTGAGAAAACATTCTTCTCACATAGAACATGCCTCATTTCAACAGGAAAAGCTATTTGCAGCCCAGCACACCATTGCAAAGTTATTCTCACTATCTCATATCATTTTCGATTGTCTACTGTGTCACAGACAGCAGCAGAACTTTCAGATATGTCCCCTCATTTAATGCTAACAAGCCTTTGTGGCTAAGTATTATGAATTCCATTTTATAGATGGAGAAACCCAGGTTAGGGGAAAGTGGGTAACTTGCCCAAGGCTAAACAGCTAGTGCGTGCAAGTGAAAGAGGCAGCTAGCATTAAATTAAGATCTGATTTCCAGGTACAAGGTTTTTTGTGGTCTGAAACCAAAGGCATCTGGAATCTCACACACGGCTTTTTATATTGGGGTGCTTCATTTCACTCCCTGGAATAGTAATCAAGGGTCTGTTTACCAGCTTCTACCAGTAGTTTAGAAACAGACTTTTATCTACCGTTTATGGATAATCACTACCTAAACTCCTTTTCAGGTGTAAATGCTTTGCACTAAGTATGATAGTAAGTTCCATGTACATAGAGACAAAAGAGAGAACTACGATTGAGGAAAAATTGATAATATCACTGGAAAAGTTTTCTCCTTGTAAACTTAAATTCTGTATTTGAATCACTTCCTCTTCCTTTTCCTTTTCTTCCTTCCTTCCTTCCTTCCCTCCCTCCCTTCCTCTCTCTTTCTTTCTTTCTTTCCTTTTCTTTTTTGAGACAGGATCTGGCTCTGTTGCCCAGGCTGGAGTGCAATGGCATGATCTTGGCTCACTGCCACCTCCACCTCCCGGGATCAAGCGATTCTCCCATTTCAGCCTCTCAAGTAGCTGGTACTAGGTGCATGCCACACACCGGCTAATTTTTTATTTTTATTTTTGTAGAGATAGGGTCAAATGCCTAAGATCAAGCGATCTGCCTGCTTTGGCTTCCGAAGTGCTGGGATTACAGGCGAGAACCACCACGCCTGGCCCGGAACCACTTTCACATCAAATTTTCTTCATTCAAATCTGAGTATTTTTCCAAAATGAAGTCTTTTTAGAAACCTGATTCATATAATGTACATATGAATATTTGGTCTTAGAAACTATATTAAACAAATAGGTTAGTAAGAAATACTATCAAAGGATGCAGTATTTCTTAGGAGCAAAACTTAAAATTTTCTTACAGATCACGCCATATTCTAATCTTTTGTTCCAGTTTTTTATTCACTCCACTGTTTGTCCAGTCAGGGTACAAACCTCTTTTTTGTTTCTTAGG